TCATTATTTCCACTGTGCTGTTAGCAACACCAACAACAGAAATGGTATGAACCAAAAGGAGGGTGGTTTTATGCTCTTCTGCCAATGTGGCAATTCCCACAGTCAGGGATTTTTGGGGTCAGGGAGAAAGAATGAACTTTCCTTCTTTGTGGTCCAGCACTGAGTGCACACAAATTGTATCATATAAAGTTACTTTAAATCATAGGCATGTGCTCAGTTTTGAAAATTAGGGGGAATGTTTGTTCTTCATAGCAACCTTACTTAACTACCTCAAATATATATGGTAAGCAAAGGGTCCCAAAGGAATCTGCATAATAAACTGCAGTATGCTTATTGTGTTATAACCCCACTCTCTCTCTCTGTATGTATGTGATACACACACACACACACACAACATATGATATGCATGTGATAATTTATTATGCACTGTTGACTGTTTCTCTTCCTCTTCTCCTGAGATGTAGAATTCTCCCCTCCCTTAGAATTAGTTTCCCTGATGCAGAGAATGGACAAGATTCAGTCTGGCATGAAAACCAATTTTTCTAGACAATAAAAAGCTGCAGCTTTAAACCACACTACATGGTTAGAAATGGGAATTTTATACCATTGGGAAAAGGATTCCCAGCTTTCTAATGGGGCCCAGCATTTGCATCAAGCCCTGGAAGATCCTGTGAAAAATGACTTGAAATCTGTGACAATTTTAAGTTTAGAAAAGATTGTGGATAAATTTTTAGATTTTTTGAACCTTGCACAGCTGAACTCATGGGTAGTGATTTGTAGAAGTGTTGAGCACCTGCCACTCCGGCTGGCAGTCAGTGGGAGCTGTGAGCATTCATGACCTCTGAAAATCAGTCTCATGGTAACTAAGGCCCTGATCCTGCAATGCGGATAAAACCTTTATACCACACCATGTTGTGCATACCCTTGTAGGTACAGTAGAACCTCAGAGTTACAAACACCAGAGTTATGAACTGACCAGTAAACCACAGACCTCATTTGGAACTGGAAGTACACAATCAGGCAGAGGGAGGAGGGAGGCAAATGTAGTACAGTACTGTGTTAAAAGTAAATTACTAAAAAAAAAGGGGGGGAAGCAGCATTTTTCTTCTGCATAGTAAAGTTTCAAAGCTGAATTAAGTCAATGTTCAGTTGTAAACTTTTGGAAGAACAACCGTAATGTTTTGTTCAGAGTTAGTTATGAACAACCTCCATTCCAGAGGCGTTTGTGATTCTGAGGTTCTACTGTATTAAATATACATATAGATTGCATGAGTGTTTTCTCTAATAAAATTGCAAACAAACAATGCTTAGTGTTATGTTTTATCATGGTATAGTTAGAGGGGGTGAAAAACCATGCATATATTTAAGGCATCACATTACATATTGCCCAAGATGCAGAAGAAGAAAATGGTACAAGTATAATTTATGCACAGTGGTTTCTTTGTTGATAGAAAACCTGTGAGGAACAGATTTTAGATAATTATGCACATTAGCAGTAAACAAAATGAAACAAAAATACAGCATATTCTTGCTGGAGTAACTTTATCAGTTGGATAAGGATATGGAGGAAAGGATGTTGAATGCCTGCATTAGAGTTTGGGTCATAGCAGGTGAGAAGAAGGAGATGACCAGGGTAGGGGTGAGTGTGCCCTCAGTCAGTGAAGAGGCAGACTCTTAACATTATAAACCACATCCTCTGCTTCTGTGAAATAGTTAGAAAACAAGTGTTTGATCTTGAAAACCATGCCATTTATACTGCTTTCTCATTCCCTTTAGAGTAGTGCTTAGTCATTTACTTTCAAAATGACTTTCAGGGGTGCTGCTATTTCAATTTGTTCTTCTTTGATTCCCTCACTGTAACCTTCCTTTTCAGATACTGTAAATTACTTCTGAATTGTTAGCTCTCTAAATTAGATTTCCTGCCTTAATGGCATGTTGTAACCATGGTGCTGCAGGCAACTGTTAGTTTAATTCAGGGCAAGAGGGTTAAGTGAAAATTACAATTCCAAGATTATCACTCTCCATGTAAATTAGATCTATGGCATTAGAGCTTCTTATAAAGAAATTGCCTTTAAGCATTGAAAGTAGAATGAAAGTTCGAGCTAGAGTTTGCTTTTACTTTTATCCCAGTGTAAGGAGCAACATGTAGCTGTACTGTCCCAAAAGCAGCACAGGGAGGGAATTGTGACTCTGAAGGTCTAAGGCACAACCAAGATCTTGGATTGAATGGTCAATGAAATCGTGAGTGGGCTTTGCTGGTGAGTTTTCCATGACTAACGCACCCACAAAACGGGGTGTTATTTTTCTTTTAAACAGATACGCAGGTCAAAGTCCATGTCCTCTCCCTCTCTGTCCATCATGGGTAGGTGGGGTGGGCTTTGAGGAGCCTGCATAGTGGTTCAGCATTCCAGCCTGCCATGCAGCTTAGCTCCATCAAAGCTTACCTATGTACAGCCCCAAAAGAGAGGGGTTGGGGCAGGCTTTGAGGGCAAGTACATTGGCAAGTAGGCATATCCATGTGGTCCCACATACATGGGGCACAACCTGAGTCTTTGGGCTGTAGCAGTGGCCATGGAGTGGCTATACTGCCACTTTGCAGACCTGCGGAGCAGATGTCCTCCTCCACTTCCAGATCCCTTTGAACCCCCCACACACTATGCTAAGCCTGACTACGTGAGGTTGGTGTTCCAGGAGTGCTCTAAATGTAAACAGTGTTAATACATAATGTCACAGCAGCCTGTGCTCAAGAATTTGTACAATAGTTCCTGGGTTTTATAGGACCAATAAAGTCATCTTGCTGTACACTGCAAATGGCTTTCTCTGAGATCCTCTTTATATCTGCTTTTAATGCTTGATACAGACGGAAGGAGTAATTCCCTTATTCAAACAGGCTTAAAGTATTGTCATGGTGAGAGAAGCCTCCTATATTCATTCCTGAGTTGTAATCATATGATGCCTTTCATTGTTTAAGTGCTGACTATATTACTAGGTTGTAGAAGAGTGGAGACTGGCCCTGTCGAAAGAGCTTGCAGTCTAAAATCCTACATGTTTTGAACTTTAGACCTGCAGCAGTATCCGTTTTATAAATACTGAAATAAATAGTTTTGTTTAATAATTGAACCAACAAATATTTACAGAAATCATTCACTGTAACAAGACCATTCTGAATATGAATGTGATCTGCCATGCCAAAGACCTTAAGGGTATGTCTATACTGCAGTGTAACCCCAGGGTTCAAACTGAGGCTCAAGCCTAACCCCCCTTCTGTATACACACAAATAGTGCTAGCCCAGGGCTTGGACCAGGGTTCTGGGACGCCATGGGGGTGGAGGGTCTGAGCCTGAGTCAAGCCAGGAATTTGCAACGTAGATGCAGCCCTATTGGACTCAGAGTCTGGGAGTCTGTCAAAAGTATTTCACAACCACACAGGCCAACTTTCTTTGTTCTCTGGACAGTCAAGTTTTCCCACACTGTACCAGAAAGAAAGGGCTAGCGTGGCCACATTTTGGGAGATGCTAGGAAGGCTGGGATATGGGTGGCTGGAGTCGGGCACGCATAATGAGATATAGATATTGGAGCCCGAGGTTGGGTCCCAGGTTTCAACAATTCCTAACCTAAAGTTACAAATGAGTGTAGATGCTCAAGCCCTAGGTTAATAAACCCAGGGTCTGCTAACTTGAGTTCTACTAACCCTGGACTTATTTTGCAGTGTAGACATACCCTAAGAGATCACAGTCCTGAACTGTTTATTTAATATGTGACTTTCATGTGGAAAATAAGTCAGACCCAGGCAGCCTTAGTTCAAAGGATTTCCCAATGAGGTATGCTAACTTGGTCTAGATTCACAGCTTAGTACAGGGGTTGGCAACCTTTCAGAAGGGGTGTGCCGAGTCTTCATTTATTCACTCTAATTTAAGGTTTCGCGTGCCAGTAATACATTTTAACGTTTTTAGAAGGTCTCTTTCTATAAGTCTGTAATCTATAACTAAACAGTTATTGTATGTAAAGTAAATAAGGTTTTTAAAATGTTTAAGAAGCTTCATTTAAAATTAAATTAAAATGCAGAGCCCCCCAGACTGATGGCCAGGACCTGGGCAGTGTGCCACTGAAAATCAGCTCGCGTGCCGCCTTCGGCACACGTGCCATAGGTTGCCTACCCCTGGCTTAGTATGTTGCCAAAGAGCTTGAGGTGAATGTTCAAGAAAAGGTCTGCAGCAAAATAATGTAAATCTAATCTTATCTGTCTAGGTTCCCATATTCTGTCCATCATTGAGGTATCTGAGCACCTTACACATTTATTAGAAAGAACAAAAGAGCTTTATTTGTTTTAACTCTGTGGGTTTTGTGGGGCAATTGAGGGGAAGGGCAGTGGAAGAAGCAAGCTTTGTGTTTTGCTTTGAATACACGGAGGCTTGTGGCTATTCTGGGCTCTTCTGGGAGTGAATTCCACTCGTGGGCTCTGTCTCCTGCACACACAAGCCTCACTCTTGAGGTTGGCAGTTCCCATTACCGTAGCTAATTTCTGTTTTAATGAGCAGAACTCCTTATTATGGACCTCATTGTTTCCAGCCTCTGCTGCTTGGGCATGCACTGGGAGGAGAGGCCTCAAGGAGGTTGGTGCATTATGGGGAGTGGTGGGCAGAACCAAGATTCTACCCATTTCCACCACTGCCCATCTGTGCGGAAGGATAAAAAACAGCCATGCAGGGGCTGCTGTTACTTCTGGATGGGACTGTTAAATAACCCACACTCTGGCCCATAGGTTTTGATCCTTTTGTCCTTAGTCAAGCAAAGCTCCCATGGACTTTACTGGGAGCTTTGCCCAGGAAACAAGGTCAACCCCTTTATTCTTTTTCCTCCTGGATCTACTCTAGTTTCTTGTCATAGGTGAGAAATTCTATATAGCTTTTTCCAGAGTCACAAAAGGAAGCTGTTGTGATCTCCAGCAATGAAGTCTGTGGCTAGGTAACATTCCAAATTTCTTTATTTGTTTGTTTTAGGTCAATTTTGTAGCCTGTCAGCTGTTTGCCTTGTTGGCTGCTTTTTGGTTTCGCATTTATTTGAGCCCCAGCAATGTCAGTTCTGTTGTTCGTCATGCATTTGCCACTCTCTTTGGAATATACTTTGCTGTTTTCTGTTTTGGATGGTGAGTATTTAACTTTCAGATAAACAAATTATGCTAGCAATTATGTTTTATTTCATGTCAGTTTTCCTAGATTATTTGTGTTCTGTCCTGAGACAACTTGTGTGTTGCAGTCAGGGCCGGCTCTGGCTTTTTTGCTGCCCTAGGCAAAAAAGCCACCTGCAGCCCCCTCCCCCCCCCTGAGTGTGGCAGGGGAGGGCGCTGAGCCCTGCCGCAGGCCCGCAATCCCCGACCGGCCGGAGCGCTGGGAGCAGGGCGGAGAGCCCGGCTGGGGCTCTCCGCTCTCCCCGGCAGCCAGAGCGCCGGGAGGAGGGCAGAGAGCCCGGCCGGGGCTATCCGCTCTCCCCGGTGGCCAGAGTGCCGGGGGGAGGGCGGAGAGCCCCCGGCGGCCAGAGCGCTGGGAGGAGGGCGGAGAAGGGGCTCTCCGCTCTCCCCGGCGGCGAGCCTGGCCGGGGCCCCGCTCTCCCCTGCGGCTGGAGCGCTGCGGGGAGGGCGGCGAGTCCAGTCGCGGCCCCACTCTCGGGCCGGAGCGCCCCGCCGCGCCACCCCCTCCAGGTGCCGCCCCAAGCACATGCTTGGTGGGCTGGTGCCTGGAGCCGGCCCTGGTTGCAGCCCTGCAAAACAATGACCACCTAACCGCCACAAAGCCCGGAACAAACTGAAATGACTTGTAGATGTTTATTTGCAGTGTTGTTGTAGACCTGTTGATCCCACGACATTAGAGAGACAAGGTGGGTGAGGTAATATCTTCTATTGGTCCAACTTCTGTTGGTGAGAGACACAAGCTGAAGAAAAGCTCTATGTAGCTCTAGAGCTTGTCTCTCTCTCCAACAGATGTCGGTCCAATAAAAAATATTCCCTCCCCACCTTGTCTCTCTTGTAGATGTATGTTGTATTTATCTATGGCAAGTTTACTGCAGTCATCAAAGAGACACCATCACCCAAGAAGACATAAAAATATATCTTCATTAGAGGAGATGCATTCATTTTTGAGTATTCAATTTTCTTTTTTTTTTAATTTTTTAAAAAAGAACAAACTGGTTGACAGGATTCTTACTTGAAGCACTGTTCTCTTCACTCTGTAAAAACTGCATTGTGGGGTGGCTCCATGTTTACTGTCTCTATTTCAAATTTAGTTAGCTTACATGGTAGAAAAGGGATTTTTTTCCCATCAGCCCTGCAGTCTTACTCTGAGACTATCTAAAAATTTATCTTTTTGTTTTCAAGGTACTCGATCCATATTTTTGTACTGGTGATGATGAGCTATGGCATCATGAACATTGCAAGTATTCCCAACATCCACAGGTAAAGTTACATGGGGGCAAGAATTCAATTACCCTGTTCCATCCAGAGGCTGGCAGCAACACAGAAGTTCATTTTGGTACTTTATCTCTCTCACCACCTGAGTTCTCACTCAGTTGCAGCAGTTTTATGGATTTAACTATAGTATCCACTGTATTGTCTAAATTTTGTGGATTTTTAGTTAGTGTATCACATCTGCCTACCAAAGAGAGGGAAGGCGTTTTGTACTTTGCCCAGTTTAAGCCTCCTGCAGCTTCAGCAATTTACATGGAGACCTCTTGTCTTTAAGTTGTTATTGGAGATTACAATGTCAAGCCACACACTCTTCAGTGTTGTGTCCTGGAGAATGGGTTTTAAAAACCCTATTTTTAATTTTTCTCTCTTGCTGTTTGGCCTGTATGCATTTCCCATTTACCCTTGAGTTAGATAGTCAGAATAAGATCACAGGCAGTTCAAAATCTGTGTTTTGTGAAACAAGTCAGTATTTTGGTACAGTAACTTCTCACTTAAAGACATCCCGGTTAACGTTGTTTCATTGTTATGTTGCTGATCAGTTAGGGAACATGCTCGTTCAAAGTTGTGCAATGCTCCCTTCTAACGTCGTTTGGCAGCCGCCTGCTTTGTCCACTGCTTGCAAGAAGAGCAGCCCGTTGCAGTTATCTGGTGGGGGCTTGGAACCAGGGTGGACCAGCAGCCCCCCTATCAGCTCCCTGCTCCCCTAAATTCCCTGTGCTGCAGCTGCCCAGCAGGCTATCAATTGCCAGCAGTTCAGCTGTCCCTCCCCCCACTGCCATGTGTTGCTCCTGCCCTCTGCCTTGGAGCTGCTCCCCGAGACTTCTGCTTGCCGTTCTGGGGGGTAGGGGACTAAGAGGGGGGCAGTCAGATTGTCCCTCTCCACCCCTGCTCTCCACTTACCCCATCTTCCATAGCATAGGGGGGACACACGACAGGGCTCAGGACAGAGGGAGCTTGCTGGCAGCAGCTGCGGTCTCAGCAAGCTGATCTAATTAACGAAGGCAGTGTTCTTAAGAATAGGGTCAGCGTACTTAAAGGGGAAATGTGCCTCTCTCTCTCTCTCTCTCTCTCTCTCTCTCTCTCACATATGGTGGGTGTCTGTGTCTCTGTCTGCGATGCTGTCTCCCCTCCCTCCATTCCTGCTGCCTTGTAGAGTGTGAGAGTTAACCCTTGAGGGCTCAGCCAATTGCTAGTTCATCATTTAGCAGTAAGGCATTCTCTGGGAAATATCCCACCCTCTGACTCCCCCACCTCAACCAAGCTTCACAATCATCATCACTGTGTAGCCCACGAAAGCTTATGCTCAAATAAATTTGTTAGTCTCTAAGGTGCCACAAGTACTCCTGTTATTTTTGCAGTATTAAATTGTTTGATTAAAACTTATACTGTATGTGTGTGTGTGTGAGAGAGTGTGTGTGTATGTGTGTATATATAATATATATATATATATATATATATATATTAGTCTTTTGTCTGGTGAAAAAAATTTCCCTGGAACCTAACCCCCGCATTTACATTAATTCTTATGGGGAAATTGGATTAGCTTAACATCGTTTTGCTTAAAGTCGCATTTTTCAGAAACATAACTACAATGTTAAGTGAGGAGTTACTGTACTGGACACAGAGCTTCACAGAACTGCAAATACAGGAAATGCCATTGACTTGATGAGAAGAGAGCATTAAACCATCACCAGCCCAAAAGTAAAAGTTATAGACTGTCAGATTTTATTTGTTCCTTATGCTAAGGTCAAAAAGAAAGGTACTGAAACTACCGTAGTTTCCAGGTGTATGTTTAGTGCAGGGGTCGGCAACCTACGGCACGTGTGCCAAACACGGCACACGAGCCGATTCTGAATAGCACGCAGCCTGCCGGTGAGAGGAGGAGGGGCGGAGGGGCCGGAAAGCACCACGCTAGGGGAAGAAGCAGGGGAGGAGGGAAGCTTGGCTGCGGCAGGACCAAACTTCTGCCTCCTGCCCCGGCAGGAGGTCCTGGCCCCCCACCCCACTCAGCTCCCCCGCCCACCGCTCTTCCCTGCGGGGGCAGGAGGCAAAAGCTTGGTCCTGCGGCAGCCAAGCTTCCCTCCTCCCCCCGCTTTTTCCCACAGCTTGTTGCATTCCGGCCCCTCTGCCCCTCCTCCTCCCTCTCCCTGCCGGGATGGCCCTTGCAAGGGGGAGGGGGAAGAGCTGCAGGCTGCACACAGCTCTGTAGAGCAGGCAGAGAGAGGTAGGGATGGGCCTGGGGGAAGGGGGTGGAACAGGGCATATCCCTCTCAGCCCCCTGCCATGAGCCGCTCAGGCCCCTCTGCCCTGACCTCGAGTCACCCCCAACACCCAGCCGTCTGCCCTGCACCTCCACACACCCCCAGCCCTCTGCCCTGACCTTGAATCGCCCCCAACACCCAGCCTTCTGCCCTGCACCCGCACCCCCCCAGCCCTCTGCCCTGACCTCCCCCCAACACCCAGCCTTCTGCCCTGCACCTCCACACACCCCCAGCCATCTGCCCTGACCTCGAGTCGCCCTGCTCAGCCCGCTGCAGGCCTAGGTGAACAGAACCCCAGGCTGGAAGCGGGCTGAGCAGACTGGCGGTGTAAGATCAGCATTTTAATTTAATTTTAAATGAAGCTTCTTAAACATTTTGAAAACCTTGTTTACTTTCATACAACAATAGTTTAGTTATATAACTTATAGAGAGAGAGACCTTCTAAAAAACGTTAACATGTATTATCGGCACGCGAAACCTTAAATTAAAGAGAATAAATGAAGACTCGGCACACCGCTTCTGAAAGGTTGCCTACCCCTGGTTTAGTGTCTCACTGAACCTTATTGGGCAGATGGTACCTTGATCAGAATTGGCAAACTCTGTTGAAACCGTAGCTGATTCTTGTACGAAGATAGGAAGCATCTATAGAAGAGATTTACAGGGCAGTAGAGTAGTTCTCTTTGTAATATTTTGCAAAACATAATCACAGATAATGTATTGTCTCAGAGTTCTCCAAGCAGTAGTTCTTTGTTAGGGTTCAGAATGCTGAGCATTTCTTTCTCTGCATGTGGAATTGCTTTTCACTTGCTGTTATTTTGAGCCCTTAGTTGAAGATATGGAGATAGTAATGTTACCTGGAAAATTGGTTTCTGTAAGTAGTCCAGAGGAACATGCCAGCTGGCAGCCTGAGAGTTATTCCACTTTTTTGTTTTGGGTTGACTTGGGCATTGCTTAGACCATTGGATTAATGCTCCCGTTAGGTCTAGTTTTGGTTTGTAACATATATATCCTTTTGCCCTACTCTCTTTGTGCAAGTTTTTTAACTCACCTTCATTGGCTTAGACATACTCCCGTGGCCACTGCAGTTGTACCTGAAGACAGAATCCCTCTGCTTGCTTATCATTTGGTAGGGGCTTTCTGAGGGTCAACGATAGTTATGTGTGCATCAACCATCTCCCCTTCTGTCTTGTCAGTTCTTCAGACAATCTCTCTCCAGTGAGTCTAATGTCCAGTCTAGTACATTTTTAAAGTAGGATTTATTTATAAATATCTTACAGTGGCAGGCAATAAAATTAAATAAGTGACGTGCAAAGTACAAATTGTTGCTAGAGGTAGATGACTTGCAACTGTACGCGGTGGCTCTTCTATGAAGTACCCCTCATGTAACAGCCAATGGGAAAACATGCAAAGGAGAAGGCATCCAGCCTAGGATCCATGATTGTTCCAAACAGGCAGGGGCAGGCAGCAGGGAACACTGGTAGCACTGAAGCAAAATTTTCATGGAGAGGGTATGAGAGAGTGGCATAATGAGAGGCCACTTTTGACAATTTGATCCTAAATGAGTTTCCCAAGGTGGCCACATAGGACAGTCACACGGCAGAGCCAGAACTAGAACCTAGAAATCCTGATATAGTTGATAACTAGCACTACGCTGCCTGTGTGAGAAGAGATCAGAGAGAAAAGGTGCTAAAATACGCTTTGTTTCTTTCTTGATCAGTACTGTTGCCTGTGTCTTGGGGAAAGAAGGGAGCAATCTATTGTTCTGGATCAGTGGACCAAGTTGTAGAAACCAAATCTACAGCTAGAAATCCAATATTTATTCATGCCTGCATAGGAGAATGAGAAGAAATGGGCATACATTCAAGTTAAAGGATTTTCCTCTCACTCTTACTGTTTAGCCAATTATTCATGATGGAAAAAATAGCATATGTTGCAGCACAAATGAAGCCAGTTTACATAATGTTGTTGGCTATTAGAGTGCAAGAGTGAGTCATACTCTGAACTGCATTGGTTTGAAATTGTGATGGAACATGCTGAAAATCTTAGCAGGGCTGGGGAAGTTGGAACAGTGCCAGTCCTCATTCTTAGCAATAGCTTTGTGGCTCACACATAACATGTTCAAATTAATTGAGGCAACATGAAAAGTAACGTAAATGATAAATGTTATGGGCTAAAACAGGGCTTGAAAACTGCAGCCAACAACTGCTGGCTTAAAGACTGAGCCTATTCATAGTGTTTAATACACTGTGTCCCCAAGCCATGCCCCGTTCCTTCAGCAATGTACGAGAATATTGATAATAGGAATATAAAAAAGTATATTTTCTCAGGGGAGAGATTTCTCATGGAGTGAGGTAAAAAAGAGAGTCAGGGAAATAACGAAAGTATGAATGCATGAATGCATCTAATCTGCACCCTTCCTATTCCCCATTAGTCCAGTCTCTACATAGGCTGTTCTGTCTTCCTCTACTGGTTTGAGCCAGGAGGACTGTAGTAGGTCAAACCCAGGCATGGGTTTGTTTTTTAAAATCAATACTCAAAACAGATAAATAAGGTCCTGCTGCCTGGCTCCTCCTAAAGCCTCTTCCACATAAGGTTTCTTTCCCTGCTCATACAACAGATGTCTCTAGCTAGGTTTTACACCTAGCTAGTGTGGAGAATCGCCTTCCAGGACTTTCATCCTAACATTGGGTCTCCTACAGGAGCCTTCCTGCTACCTGCAGGTCCCTCTCCCTAACCAAGCTACTTGCTGACCTTTTATCTGAGAACCAGGTGACCCTGCAGGCTGTCACCTGATCCCGCACCTGAACCCATCACCCGGGTTGTAAGTAATCAGTCACTGGTGGGCCTAAACACACCTCCCTTAAAGGGACAAAGGCCTGGCTCCGCCCCCTCCCAGCTGGCCAGTTCTTTTGCCATTTCAGCTTCTGTTCTGTTCCCCATTCTGGTTTGTCCTGACTTGGGCCTGGTGGCCACAGCCTCACACTCGCCAGTCTGCCTGCCTGGTCTTCTACTGGCCAATTTGTGCCACTGCTGTTTGGGTGTGAAGGCCTTGATTTCCCAATCATTAGGTTCCTGCCTGCCCCCTACTGCTAGGGCTCTATGGTCCTAGGCTCCAGTTGGCTGGTTTTGCTGATATGATGTTGGACCCTGATGGCCTCAGTTCTAGATGCGGTCTTAGGATCACCTGCTGTTCTCTTCTCAATTTGGTGTTTCAGCCTTCTGGTGCTCTGCTGCACCCTTCTGGATCTGCTGAATCTTGGTTCTGTTGGTCTCCTTCCTGCTCTTCTCTGTCTCAATTGGCAACCTACATCTGCTGGCAGCCTCTTTCCTGTTCTGTTATGGATGAGGATGATGAGGAGAGGGAGAGGAAGTAACAGGGTTTAAAGATCACCCCTCCGTGTGCTGCACTGAGGATCTGCAACACTGCACTCCTTAAACCAGCGATACTCAGACTGTGGCCCATGAGCCGCATTCCCATGTGGCCCATGAGCTCTTTAATGTGTCTCCTGCATGTCTTTGCAGCACATGATATCATAACACAGTGTGATTTAATTATTAACCAATCAGGATGCTTTTACTATGTTATTAACCAATTAAGTTATGAACTTGCACTAAGTTATTAACTTATTTGCTGTGAGAACTATATATATGGCAGACCTCTGTGGTAAGGGAGCCAAATTAGCCATCAGCAGTACCCAAAAGAGCCACAGTAGTGTGAAATATTTCCCCTCTCATACTGTTTTACTATAGTACTATTCATATTTAATGAAATAATGAATTCATGCTACTGTGACTCTTTTGGGTACTGCTGATCGCTAATTTGGCTCCTGAACCACTGAGATCTGAGAATCACTGCCATAAACTATTAGAATGTCAGAATATAGGATACTACTAGCCTTCCTGCCTAACTTAATTTTGCACTCACACAGGACACAAACCGGAGAGTGGATTTTTTCAAACCCTAGTTAAAAAATACTTCCGGTGTGCATAACGGTCTATTTGAGCATGTAAAGCCAAAAGAAATTGTCTTCCAAATGTTACTGAAAACAATGTACAGCGATTGTGTACTCTTAAACAGGGCCGGCTCCAGGCACCAGCTTGTCAAGCAGGTGCTTGGGGCGGCCACTTCGGAGAGGGGCGGCAAGTCCAGCTATTCGGCAGCAGTTTGGCGGACGGTCCCTCACTCTGGCTCAGAGCGAAGGACCTCCCGCCGAATTGCCACCGCAGATCGCGATCGCGGCTTTTTTTTTTTGGCTGCTTGGGGGGCCAAAACCCTGGAGCCAGCCCTGCTCTTAAAGCATAATTATATTCTCTCTCTCCTGTTTTCTACAGACTTGCAATATGAGTGTCTCAAGTATTTCTGGTGTGTGTGTATGTACATAGAACAGAAAGGAGAATGGATAATCTCAGCAGCATGTTAAATGTTATCTGGCTTCAGACACTTGAATTCTAGGACATAATTTTCCAAAGTGACTAGTAATTTTGAGTGTCTCAATTTTGATTATCATCCTGACATGTATAAATTTACTCTCGGTTTTTGGTTTGCCTGTATGAGGTGAATGTAAAGTCTTGACTGCTTCGGTTGGTAACTGTTCTGTTTGTTTGTATGTTCTGTTTAGGTACTCCTTTGTGGTAGCCATGGGATACCTCACATTGTGTCACATTAGCCGAATATACATATTTAATTATGGTATTCTCACTACAGATTTCTCTGGGTGAGTATCCAGCTCATATACTATGTCTGTTGATAAATTGTATAGTCAATTGCTTGATCACACTTTGGTTCATTATGAAATATATTCAGGAGGCAAATTATAGGTTTATAAATATAAGGTTTATACCAGGGTAGAATATTCATATGTCTTGTCGTTTTCCTTTGGGACATTTCAGTATTAGCTTGTGAGAATAACTCCCTACCTGTTAATATGGAAAAATACTCATATGTCCTAACCCAGACCGTTTTCTTATCTCCTTAAGCCAAAGCTTACTTCAACTAATGCATGGTCTTATGGGATACCTGACATGAGTGGACAGAATTGTAGGGAGAGTATAATACATTCAGTTAACATAACTTCCCAATACTTATATTAACACTAAGCCTACCCATATATGTATTGGCTAACAATATAATTTATTATTAAATTATTGTAGGACTATAATTTAGTACAATTAAAAGAATGTCACAAAGGGCGGTCCTGCAATCTTGTTTACTTAATCTTTCAAGAAATACTTGTTCAAAGTAAATAATGCATGATGTTAGACTGACTCAGTATTTCCATTAGCCAGCGAGGTGTGCCTGTGTGTGTTCTTGCACAATAGCACCTTGCCAGAGGTGGGGAGGGTCTGCTTATCTGCTTCTCCACCTTGAGTGGGGATGGGAGAGTAAGTTCCAAAGTTACTCTTTGGTGGTGGAGTGGGTCCTAGGTTATCTTCCTATCTGCCAATCCCTCAGTGTCCAAGGAAGCAGCAAGTCAGGTTGGCCCAAGCTGCTTCTTCCTTAAGTTTGTCTGGTTGGGTGGGCTAGACTGTTGCTCTCTTTATTCCTTTCTTGAGAGTGCAATAGACCAGTATTGGCAGTCTCGGTGAGTGGCCCCAAGCCTTCTCTTTCCTCATTCTGATTCTACTCTGGGGGAGACGGTCCTTGGATTTTCCCAAAGCCCTTTCTTGCCAAGCTGGGAAAACAATGTGAGAGGAGCCATCTGCCCCTCTCCTGCTGAAAGGGAGAGAACTTCCAGAATAGCTGTAGCTGGTTGTTTCTTCCAGCTTTAAAGGGCCAGCTACCAGCAAAGCTGTTTTATCCCATTTTTGAAAGAGTGAAACATGCATGTTTTATTATAAGTCCTTTTCTGGATGCTTTGCTTTGGCATTTATAAACTGTTCTTGGGATTATTTAGGTTTTTTTAACTCTTTCTTACCCCAGTTACATATTTTTTCCCTTCTTCTTTATGCTAAGAGGATTATGCTGGTGAGTTGATTTTTGGTGTTTTTTAATACTTTATAAGAATGGCACTACTAATAATACATCATCCTCTTTTATAGCATATGTAGACTGTCAGTGTAGTGATATTATAGTTTTTACCAGAAATGGATTAGTTTAAAAAGAAAAAAATCAAAGGAATATGATAGCTCAGGAGGCTAGTAATGGGCATGGGTCCCAATCCAGTAAACTATTCAAACATGTGCCTAACTTTGTGCACATGAACAGTATGAATGAAGTCAGTGTGACTACTCATGGATTAAATTATGGACAAGCTTAAATCCTTTGCTGGACTGGGGCCATGGTGCCTCTCACTTTTTGGTTACGGGTTTGAGTTCAACCAGTTTGTTATGAGCAAAAACCACTACCATTTGAAGAATATTCATTGAAGGCCTGTGGGTGACACAAATGGCTTATCTGAAATTCTAGGGGCCTCCGCACTATTCCTAGTGGAAAAATTCACAGCACAAAAATCACCATAAAATTGGCACTAGTTACCACCCTTATTAACAGTCTTATATGAGAGTCAAATGCTTGAATTGGCTTGGAGACTGACCCACCTTTTCACCCTGAAAGGTGGTATTTTCCATGTGTAAATTGGAGCCTTTTGGCTGACAGATACACAATCTTGCACTTTTTACTGCATGTGCCATATTTCTGCTGTAGATAAATGGAAGATTTCATTCTCCAGGGCTGTTGGGCTAAAACATTTTATCAGCCCTAACTTTACTCCAAAGGAAAAAATGGCAGCATTTCTAGCAAACCACCCTAAAAATGAACATAGTTAAATGTGAAATCTCGAAAAGCTTTATAAAGGAATTTTTTAGCAATGAGTGTCACTGAAGGCAGTTATTTATCTTCTAATGCTTAATGCTTTGCTGTGTTTTCTTTCCTCTGCTGGTTTTATTTCAATCTCCAAAGTTAGCAACAATGGTAGAATAGCCAATTTGTAAAAAGAAAATATATTTGACAATGGAATCTGACCTAGATGTATTCTTTTTTGTTACACCATTGCAGAACAAAGTACAGAAGTATTAAACACTCCAAAGAGTTAGATGGAAACATTTGTTTTCCTTGAAAATATATTAAGGAAATTCTTTTTTGGCATTGTAAGTGATGGGACGACAGCTCTGGGGACTGAAGTCCTCTGTGTATCCACAGACCACGTACAACATGGGTAGTAGCAGTGCAAGACATGGCTCTGCCAATAAGCCTCTTTTCTGTAGTATGAAGATAGCACTCTCTTCATTCACTCCGTGCTCATTCATTGCTTGACTACTCTGTTTAGCATTTGTCCACTTGAAATTGGACACCACTAACTGATTACACATAAGCTGATAAGGAACCGTGGGTGGTAACTACCAACCAGCTTAAATTCAAACCAGTGAATCAGAATTGAAAAGCTTGATATCCCATTAATATCCCACGCAATTCCCTCAGAAACATTTTTCTGAATGAAAACTTTCAGCTGTAAAGAATGGTTATCTAATAGATGCTACCAACTAAACATATTGTTTAGAATTGGGGATGGGTGAAGTAAGTGGTTCTGATTTTAAGTTAGGAAGTGACTTGAATTTCTGCCTAAACATGAAACAAACTGAAAACTGATTTGAGGTGTGTAAAATTCAGTTTGTATCTTCTTCTGTGTGCTGCTGCACTTCCTGGTTTCTGTTGAAAACAGAAGTAATAAAATACAGCAAGAGATGTTGATATGGGGTTTCTAGTACAATAGTAAAAAAACATAGACAATCTGAACAATCTCATGAGAGCCCTTGATCGTGTGAGGTTTTCCACACTGATTTCCAGACCAAGGAAATAAATTCACAAAAAGTATAAAAAATATTAGAAATAAATCATAGCATGAGGAAATTGAGTTTCTGTTTCTCTGGTCTGGTTTTAGCAATGGTGTTGATATGTTTTATTTTGTATGATATTCACAGATTAGGCATTGTGGGATAATATCCTTTAGTTTGCAGCTGCAAAGCATGAGGAGCTCTTTTTAGTCACAGTTAAACAGAGCTCAAATGATCTGGGATTTGGGAATAAATGGCTTTATTTCAAATGTCTTCCTTTAGGTTTCCTCTGTAAATGTAAGTATCATCTGTAGGCTTTATTCTCATAGAATATTATGATTTTCTTTTAAAGTCTACCTACTTCTTCGCTTCTTTTCAATAAACCGTGTCAACATTTTGAACAAAATAATAGGTTCTGACCTTCACTTGTGGGTATACAGTAGATTTTATTAATGTCTATTTTTGTGCACACCTCTGCAGCCTTCTCAAACTGAGTCACATTTTTATTACTTATATGTCAAAAACATTTGACCTTGCATGACATAGGCACCATGTTTAACATACTAATTTAGTCAACATTTTTGTGCCATTTATAATTAGATGTTACCTGAAAGTTAAAAAAAAAATAGCAATTTATTCCTTCAGTATTGCCAGGCCTAAGTGTTCAAATATCCTGAGTCTGACTTAGTAATTATGGGATTTTAAAAGTAAGCTTTGGGTTCTTTTTATTTTGGCTCTGTTTTTGAGCTTGGAGGATTCATGTTTCCAATCTTTTCTCTACAGTCAGTAGGGCTAGGAACTTATTTAAAAAAACAAACAACCAACAAAAGCTGAGGTTCTCGTATAATCACATGATTCAGGGAGCTGGGGTTTTAAAAACATATCAAATATCGTAAGACCTGCAATAAAATCCTGAGAGTTAGCAACGCTTCTTTTTAATACTTTAAATATCCAAATCAGACTTCTAACTTGGCAACTAATCACACACAATGGAGACCGGCAGATATTAAACACAATGTTCTGGCATTTACCTGCAAAGCTGATCTTCAAGGACACGTTGAAAGAGCTCTCTGTGTGTCAAGAGGCAGAGATTGCTGATCTCTGCTGTACTGTTTATTTTATTACTAGGCTTGAAATCTCAACGTACCAGCATCTCCTGACTCAGCATTTCAACTTTAAAACAGAGAACTATTTTAGGTGGGAGGAAGGTATGAAGTGTCTGTCCAGGTGCTATAGTGGACCCATATAGAACAGTAGTTGCATAATGTGCTTCAGTGTGCCAAGTTAGGCATCTCATTAGGACTTCTCATTCTGTAAACTGAATGGCAATCTATGTGGTACCCATCACCAGGATGTGTGAGCAACATATGGATTCAAAGGTTGGAAGCCAGAAGGGTTTAGCATATGATGTAGGTGAAGCACTTGGATTTCAGGGCACCAAGTGAAACATGCAAAGTTTTCAGTTACTCTGTCCACGCTGTAAATTTCCTAAGCTGACATCAAGATGAAGTCGGTGGCCGGGTAGAAGGGGCAGGGGGACGGCGGACCTGTTCATCCTATTTTTACAGCTGGAGGAGAGATTACAGTACCAGGCACTACAGAAGTATGGATATGTGCTTTCAAGTATGGACATGTGTATGGGAAAGGCTGATATCCCATAAGAACCCACAAGGACTTATTCTTTTCTTGGCTGGGATACGATATGGGCAGATTTCTGCTTAGGGGACGTTGCAAGACAGTTTTCCACCTTCCTGAGGAAGGTTACAGAATAGACTAGACAATTTGAGTCTGTTTGAATATTGGAGGCTTTAGCTGAGCTGTTATTCTATACACTGTTTTTCCTCTCTAGCACCCTTAATTCCCTCTCTTGCTGTCATTGTATATTAAGCATCTTGAACCCAGGAGGAAAATAAAGACTCCTATTGGTTTTTCAGAAAGGGCTTTGTATGATATGTTGTATTTTTCTGCATCAGGAGTGTCATTTCTATCAATCTTTAGGTCTTATTTAGAGTTCAAATTTGGGATGGAAGGGAGAGAATGTTAGTTTTTTCAGATTAAATTGTAGCAGTGTTCTAATACAGGCTGTTTTTGTGCATGACCTTCAGTCCATCTGAATTGTTTGGATTTCAGTGTTCGGTGGTTTACAGCAGGGGGCCCAATTTTCAAATGCAGGTGCCTAAATGCAGGCAATTAAAGGGACATCAGTTGGGTTTTGATTCTCTGGTTTGAAGTTATTTACTTAAACATTAGCATAAAATAAATCAGTTTTGTCATTAGCAAGAATCATGCCTGACAAAAGTTTGCTTTTAAAATGAAAAATTGTTGCTGAACCAATGTGACATGGTGGGATAATACACGTGACTGGAATATTGTTATAGAAGGGTACAGCTTGCTCAGGAAGGACAGGCAGGGAAAAAAGGGAGGAGGTGTTGCCTTATATATTAAAAAGGTATACATTTGGACTGAGGTTGAGATGGAAATAGGAGACAGACTTGTTGAAAGTCTCTGGGTAAGGATAAAAGGGGTAAAAAACAAGGATGATGTCATGGTAGGGGTCTACTACAGACCACCTAACCAGGAAGAAGAGGTGGATGTGGCTTTTTTTAAACAACTAACAAAATCATCCAAAGCACAGGACTTGGTGGTGATGGGAGACTTCAACTACTCAGACATCTTCTGGGAAAATAACACAGCAGGGCACAGATTATCCAAGATTATTCTTGGAATGTATTGGAATGTATGATTTTTTATTTCAGAAGGTGGAGAAAGGTACGAGGGAGAGAGGCTGTTCTAGATTTCATTTTGACAAATAGGGAGAAACTGGTTGAGAATTTGAAAGTGGAAGATAGCTTGGGTGAAAGTGATCATGACATGATAGAGTTTGTGATTCTAAGGAATGGTAGCTTGGAGAACAGCAAAATCAAGACAATGGATTTCAAGAAGGCAGACTTTAGCAAACTCAGGGAGTTGGTAGGTAAGATCCCATGGGAAGCAATCTAAACAATTGAAGACAGTTGGCAGTTTTTCAGAGACACATTATTAAGGGCACAAGAGCAAACTATCCCACTGTGTAGGAAAGATAGGAAGTATGGCAAGAGACCACCGTGGCTTAACCAGGAGATCTTCAATGATCTAAAAATAAAAAAGAGCCCTACAAAAAGTACTACAAAAAGTGGAAACTAGGTCAAATTATAA